CAGCAATCAATCCACAGGAGGGTTTCTGCAGAGCAGCAATCATGCAAATAGGAACCTGGTAACTGCCTTTGGGGTCAAAGGCCAGTTACAACCAATCAGACGTAGAGGAGGGGTATTTAGACCCAGTTCTCATTCTGCTCAGTGCCCTGTTGTGGTTTCCCTTGTGGTTGTCCGAGAGCGCGTGCCTGATTCTGGTAATTCTGGTTATTTGACTCTGGCATTGTTTTTGACTTCCCTGTTTTCTGGCATCCCGGACTCCTGGCTTTTCCTTATTGTTGTGTCTCTTTCTGTATCCCTTGACCTCAGCTATTCCTGACTATTCTTTGGTACGTTAGTCCGGCCATTCTAAGGTCCGATATACGTTACCTATCAGTCCTCTGTGTTACACAATTCTACGTGCTGGATCATTCTGTTATCCTGACACCGTCACAACCGTATACATTGATAATACCATATACAGAAATAATATAGTATACAGTGATAATATTGTATACAGTGATAATACCATATACAGTAATATAGTATACATTGATAATACCATAACAGTAATAATACCGTATACAGTGATAATACTGTATACAGTAATAAGATAGTATACAGTGATAATACCGTATACAGTGATAAGATAGTATACAGTAATAATACCGTATACAGTGATAATACAATAAACAGCAATAATACCGTGTAACAAACCACTTGTGTTTCATATGATCCGTTCCTTCGCACTCCCGAAATGCGAGAGGCTTGAGTGATTGTAGCACATTCGCATGGTACTAGTGATGTCCTGAACCGTTCGCCACAAACGGTTCGCCACGAACTCCAGTCAGCAGACACATTCCAGCCAATCAGCAGCAGACCCTCCCTCCCAGACCCTCCCACCTCCTGGACAGCTCACTAACAATGCAGCTTCAAAATGGATGCTGTCCAGGAGGTGGAAGGGTCTGGGAGGGAGGGTCTGCTGCTGATTGGCTGGAATGTGTCTGCTGACTGGAGTCCGCGGCGAACCGTTCGTGAACAGTTCGGGACATCACTACATGGTACGCTAGTTCGTACTCTCCCAAAATCCCAGTAGATCGTGGTTAATATCAAGTGCTTCTTCGTTCGCATACCCAAACATCAGTCAAGACTTGGTGAAGGGTACAACAGGAATGGTTTATTTTGGCCAGATGGTCGACTTTTATACACAGACCTCCAGCATGGGGACTAAAGCAAAAGTATAGTAAAACACGCCCCATGGTCTCTGTTTCTGGGAGATAATTGAGTGTACTTTGCTTAACCTAATTATCTCCCAGGCACTAGAGTTACAGAAAATAAAATATTAAATATACCAAAATACATATAACACATATAGGAACCCCCACAAGTATTATATCTCCAGATAGCCTGGATCTTTCGGGATCTACCAAATGCAGGGAAAATAACTGGGACAAGAAAATACAGGGTTTTGTCACACTACAGTGATAATACAGTATACAGTGATAATACAGTGATAATACAGTGATAATATCGTATACAGTTTAGTGATAATACAGTATACAGTGATAATACAGTGATAATACAGTGATAATATCGTATACAGTTTAGTGATAATACAGTATACAGTGATAATACAGTGATAATACAATATACATTGATAATACCGTATAGCATGGTAATACAGTATACAGTGATAATACATTGATAATACAGTATACAGTGATAATACAGTGATAATACAGTGATAATATCGTATACAGTTTAGTGATTATACAGTATACAGTGATAATACAGTGATAATACAATATACATTGATAATACCGTATAGCATGGTAATACAGTATACAGTGATATTACATTGATAATACAGTGATAATATCGTATACAGTGATAATACAGTATATAGTGATAATACAGTGATAATACAATATACATTGATAATACCGTATAGCGTGATAATACAGTATACAGTGATAATATCATATATAGAGTGATCTGAAGAGCTGATACTCCACTAGAGACAAAATACATTTTAGAGAATAGTATGTATCTGTAGCCTATAGAACTGACACTCTAAGATTCATTATAATATATTATATGTCTTTAGAAAGAGCCACCTTGCTCGGGGCTGTGTAACAAACAGTGAACAGGAAGAAGTGACAAGCCAGCTCGCAGGATGTGAATGTAATCACCCAAGTGGTCCGTGTGCAATGTACCTAGAGGGGAGGACCTATTACAATGTGGACATTCTATATCCGAGGGCTTGCATTAGTTCTACCTATTAGGTGAGACACACTCAAGCTGTATAAAATTAAGGTGACATAAAGTAGAAAATATTAAAAAAGGACAGTTTTTTTGAAGTGGGACAGGGTTGGAAGGACAATATATAGGAACGGACAGAGGTTGGCTGGAGGTGGTGTGAGTGGTAGAAATTGATTAATAAACAACACAGGGAGCCAGTGTAAGGACTGGAATAGGATGAAGTGGGAAGTCAGGAGATCTCGGGTTTTGACCGTGCTTAAAATGAGCCAGGCACCTAGCTGAAATAAAGGGTAGTTTATTGTCAAACAACGTTTCAACTCGCAATGAGCCTTCCTTAAAAGGACACTGTAGTCACTGCTTCATCTGACTGAAGTGGTTATAGTGTCTGCAGTGCCCTGGTTCCATCCTTTCCTTCAGGTATAAACTATTTTAATGTTTTAATGGTAAATGATAGTCCACAGTGCTGCTTAAACTAAAAAGGAAGCATTAGCCTGAGCAGCAATGGGTGGCTGTGATTGGCTGAGAGAGTCGGCTGACTGCTTTCAGCCTATCACAGCACCCATTGCAGGTATGAATTGGTATGGATAAAAGGAAGTGTGTAATATCTGCTTTAGCCACACCTCCAGTGTGGGTGGAGCGATGGGTGGCCAGGGACCCTCATTCAATGTTAAACTGCTCGAAAATGGTTTAACACTGAATGGAGGGACAGCGCAAGTAGACTCCAGACACCAAAACCACTTCAATGAGATGAAATGGTTATAGTGCCTTCAGTGTCCCTTTAAGTCTCAAGCCACAATGAGCCAAATCAGCTCCATAATGTTTAATTGCCCTTTCTGTCCGTACGCACCACATGAGCCTGTGGGGTAGACTTGATGGAAGACCAAGAAAGGACACAAGCAGAGCAGGAACAGTGCTTAGGTGAGCAAATAAACGTGCAAAAAGTGTGAGGGAGATTTATCAAAACGTGTTCTGTTCTAAATAGCGGTCTAAAGTATTAAAAGCGGTGCAATCGCCATAGAAACTGGCAGGCACATTCCATTGTTGACGCCTCCCAATTTACTTGTTTAGTTTTATATATTTTATTTGATATATATAATTGTTTATTTTATATATATATAATTTTATTTGTGCACCACTCTCGATAACCGTTTAGGACACCTTGATAAATCTCCCTCAGATTTTCAATAAGGAAGCAGGCAAGCGGTTAGAGAGTGAGGAGAGGCAATAATGGGATAATCTGCGTATATATAACGCATGGACATTCTTTATAAATATCCACCATTATCGTTTTAGAATCCGACCCAGATAACACTGAAAGCCAGCCAGCCGTGTCGATCTCCTCACTATGACTGCTTGTGAAACTTGCAGATATAATGCGACATCTAACACACCGTGGAAAATTGCACCACAGGTTTTGGCCAAGTTGTTAAAAAAACAACTACGTGATATTTTATGTAAATTAGTTTTAGAAAAATCGACTTGAGAAGTAAAACCACAGGTTTCCGGGAGACAAACAGAGAAGCCATATAGGGCTGGATTGCCAGAATGTAGTTAACGACACATTAGCTCAAAAAGGAAGTTGCAGACCAAAAACAAAAAATGAAGAAGTTTGAGGTATAAATTTCGGGTTTTTGTGCATTGTCTTGTTAAATTAAGAAACATATAGTGTAGCTTCCCCCGTCATGTACGCTTTCCCAAAAACATGTATAGACAGGGACCAGCAGCTCGGACCAATCTAGGGATATATTTAGCATTTAGGTAGGAGGTGCGTATTATGAAACATTTGATATAAAGTGCATTTGCCCGGCAGAACCCTAACAGGGTTACTTACTAAGGTGAGAATTTAAAATTTAAGGTCAAAATAGCCGAAGTGGAAAAAATCTAGCTGTGCTTTGAGTTTGGCTACTTTGGCCTTACATTAAAGTCCAGTTTGATTTGTCACCTTAGTAAATAACCCCGGGTGTGATATATTGACTATAAAACGAGAGTGAGTGCGTGTGAATCCCCCTGATGTACAAACGCTGGTAATGGACAGCGCCGTAGAGATAGCAGCCACCACGCTAACATGTACCACCATGATGGGAATGATGGGATAGAAAAGCACATGTTAAGCGGGGTGGCTGCAATATTAAGATATAAAGTAGACATCTCTTATTATTGTTATTTTACAGAACCAACATCCTCTGCAATGCTACACTCATAGCTTCACACAGTGCTGAGTGCTCACTCCTACATTCACATAATGCTTAGTGCTCACTCCTACATTCACATAATGCTGAGTGCACACTCCTAGCTTCACACAGTGCTGAGTGCTCACTCATAGCTTCACACAGTGCTGAGTGCACACTCCTATATTCACACAGAGCTGAGTGCTCACTCCTATATTCACACAGTGCTGATTGCTCACTTCTACATTCATACAATGCTGAGTGCTCATTTCTACATTCATACAATGCTGAGTGCTCACTCCTACTTTCACACAGTGCCGATTGCTCACTCCTACTTTCACACAGTGCCGATTGCTCACTTCTACATTCACACAGTGCCGAGTGCACACTCCTAGCTTCACACAGTGCCGAGTGCACACTCCTACATTCACACAGTGCTGAGTGTACACTCCTACATTCACACAGTGCTGAGTGCACACTCCTACATTCACACAGTGCTAAGTGCACACTCCTACATTCACACAGTGCTGAGTGTACACTACTACATTCACACAGTGCTGAGCGCTCACTCCTATATTCACACAGTGCTAATTGCTCACTCCTACATCCACACAGTGCTGAGTGCTCACTCCTACATCCACACAGTGCTGAGTGCTCACTCCTACATCCACACAGTGCTCAGGGCTCACTCCTAGCTCCACACAGTGCTGAGTGCTCACTCCTAGCTTCACACAGTGCTGAGTGCACACTCCTAGCTTCACACAGTGCTGAGTGCACACTCCTAGCTTCACACAGTGCTGAGTGCACACTCCTAGCTCCACACAGTGCTGAGTGCTCACTCCTAGCTTCACACAGTGCTGAGTGATATTCACACAGTGCTGAGTGCTCACTCCTATATTCACACAGTGCTGAGTGCACACTCCTAGCTTCACACAGTGCTGAGTGCACACTCCTACTTTCACACAGTGCTGATTGCTCACTTCTACATTCACACAGTGCCGAGTGCTAACTCCTATATTCACACAGTGCCGAGTGCACACTCCTAGCTTCACACAGTGCTGAGTGCACACTCCTACATTCACACAGTGCTGAGTGCACACTCCTACATTCACACAGTGATGAGTGCACACTCCTACATTCACACAGTGCTAAGTGCACACTCCTACATTCACACAGTGCTGAGTGCTCACTCCTGTGATTACTCCCAGCTTCACGCAATGCTGAGCATTCACTCCTACATTTAATTCATAGAAAATGCCCGTTGATTGACCCAGTTACATATTTTGTTTGTTTAAGTAGAGTACATTAAAGGGCCCCAGACTGCCCCTCAAATTCTCACACACTGCTACTTTTTTCAGTGAAAAATTTAGAAATCCTTGAAATATTTAGAAAGAGGCCCCCAAGCTAGCGCCCCTCCCACCCCAACTCCCTGATCTTTATCTCATCGGTGAGTGTAAACTGGCCGGCTATCGCTGTGTATCATAGAATTTATTGCTAACCGTACCAGGGAACTACACCGAATTAATGCCAATAAAACATGGACGAAACCAAGATCTTATATTATTAGTCCTCCAATTATTCTATACTACATGGAAAGATTAAAGGAACATTCAGAATTCCACATCGTCGATGCGGCAACTCAGCCTGATTTATATTAAATTTAATGTTAAACTAGGCCCCAGGTCACTCTGTGAAACATAACTACTATTGTAAATACTGTTATCATTAGAAAGATAATTAGCCTCATAGTAATAAAACGGTGATATAGTACTTCATATCTCCCAACATTTCTAATGGACAAAGGGACACTTTAATTTTAGGGAGAGTGGAGGTGTGGCCAGGGGCTAATAACAATTCATAGAGCTAAAATGTAACTTAGAAGAAGAACAATGTATCTTAGTTACAGACTGATTTCGAAAAACATTTATTGTTGTTTAAAAACACATTACTGGGAGTTATATTATTGCTGTGGAGCTCTGTTAATAAATAAATAATAAAAGGCCATATTGCTCTGTCTTATGGCGAGATAGCCCATAGCAAATGCACACAGTCACTATATAACATTAATTTATTTGTGCACTCCCACCTTGTTGTTCCTGGTGTTTCCCTCAGCATCTCCTGCCCTCAACCTCCTTCGGACTATTTGGTATTCCCCAGTAATAGGTCTCCTTTATAACTCCTGCCCCCCATCCATCCTCCTTAGGACCTTTTAGTTTCCCCTAGTAACGGGTCTCCTTTATATCTCCTGCCCCCATCCTCCTTAGAACATTTCCCCCCCCAGTAATGGGTCTCCTTTATATCTCCTGCCCCCCATTCATCCTCCTTAGGATCTTTCAGTTTCCCCCAGTAACGGGTCTCCTTCATATCTCCTGCCCCCCATTCATCCTCCTTAGAACATTCACCCCCCTCCTCCTCTTGCCCCCAGCCTCCTTAGGACCTTTTAGTTTCCCCCTGGTCTCCTTCTATCTGCCCCATCCATCCTCCTTAAACACCCCCACCCCAGCGTCCTTTATATCTGTCCTCCAGCCTCCTTAGGACCTTTTAGTTTCCCCTAGTAACGGGTCTCCTTTATATCTCCTGCCCCCCATCCTCCTTAGAACATTTTAGTTTCCCCCTTTATATCTCCTGTCCTCCAGCCTCCTTAGAACATTTTAGTTTCCCCAAGTAATGGGTCTCCTTTATATCTCCTGCCCCCAACCTCCTTAGAACATTTTCGTTTCCCCAGTGTGGGTCTCGCTTATCTCCTGCCCCCTATCCATCCTCCTTAGGACCTTCTAGTTTCCCCCAGTAACGGGTCTCCTTTATATCTCCTGCCCCCATCCTCCTTAGGACCTTTTAGTTTTCCCTAGTAATGGGTCTCCTTTATATCTCCTGCCCCCTATCCATCCTCCTTAGGACCTTTTAGTTTTCCCAAGTAATGGGTCTCCTTTATATCTCCTGCCCCCTATCCATCCTCCTTAGGACCTTCTAGTTTTCCCAAGTAACGGGTCTCCTTTATATCTCCTGCCCCCCATCCATCCTTCTTAGAACCTTTTTTTCCACCCAGTAATGGGTATCCTTTATATCTCCTGCCCCCCATCCATCCTCCTTAGAACATTCACCCCCCTTCCCAGTAATGAGTCTCCTTTATATCTCCTGCCCCTCATCCATCCTTCTTACAACCTTTTTTTCCACCCAGTAATGGGTCTCCTTTATATCTCCTGCCCCCTATCCATCCTCCTTAGGACCTTCTAGTTTCCCCCAGTAACGGGTCTCCTTTATATCTCCTGCCCCCATCCTCCTTAGGACCTTTTAGTTTTCCCAAGTAATGGGTCTCCTTTATATCTCCTGCCCCCTATCCATCCTCCTTAGGACCTTCTAGTTTTCCCAAGTAACGGGTCTCCTTTATATCTCCTGCCCCCATCCTCCTTAGGACCTTTTAGTTTTCCCAAGTAATGGGTCTCCTTTATATCTCCTGCCCCCTATCCATCCTCCTTAGGACCTTCTAGTTTTCCCAAGTAATGGGTATCCTTTATATCTCGACTCATCCTGTCCTCCTTAGAACATTCTTTGTAATAACGGGTCCTTTATCATCCTGCCCCTGTCCCCTTCAGGACCTTTTAGTTTCCACTCAGTAATGGGTCTCCTTTATATCTCACCTTTACATCCGTCCTCCTTGAACATTCACCTCCTCTTTGCCCCATCCACTCAGGACCTTCTGGTTCCCCAGTGGGTCTCATATATCTCTGCCTCACCATCCTTAAATTAATTACAGTAATGGGTCTCCTTTATATCTCCTGCCCCCATCCTCCTTAGAACCTTTTAGTTTCCCCCAGTAATGGGTCTCCTTTATATCTCCTTTCCCCCCACCCCCTTGTAAATATTACCCATAGGGCCCTGTAATGGGTAGGCAGTCTCCTGCATTCAAGTCTATCTCTCTATATAACACACTTGGGGGAGCTTATCTCTATATAACACACTGGGGAAGGACTATCTCTGTATAACACACTGGGGGAGGGGCTGTCTCTGTATAACACACTGGGGGAGGGGCTGACTCTGTGTAACACACTGGGGAAGGACTATCTCTGTATAACACACTGGGGGAGGGGCTGTCTCTGTATAACACACTGGGGGAGGGGCTGACTCTGTGTAACACACTGGGGAGGGACTATCTCTGTATAACACACTGGGGAGGGGCTCTCTCTGTATAACACACTGGGGGAGGGGCTGTATCTGTATAACACATTGGGGGAGGGGCTCTCTGTATAACACACTAGGGGGGAGGGACTATCGCTGTATAACACACTGGGGGAGGGACTATCTCTGTATAACACACTGGGGGAGGTGCTGTCTCTGTATAACACACTGGGGAGAGGTATTAGCAGTAGAAAGAGGGAAGTGCTCATGCCATTGTACAGAACACTGGTGAGACCTCACTTGGAGTATTGTACACAGTACTGGAGACTGTATCTTCAGAAGGATATTGATACCTTAGAGAGAGTTCAGAGAAGGGCTACTAAACTGGTCCATGGATTGCGGGATAAAACTTACCAGGAAAGGTTAAAGGATCTTAACATGTATAGCTTGGAGGAAAGACGAGACAGGGGGGATATGATAGAAACATTTAAATATATAAAGGGAATCAACACGGTAAAGGAGGAGACTATATTTAAAAGAAGAAAAACTACCACAACAAGAGGACATAATCTTAAATTAGAGGGACAAAGGTTTAAAAATAATATCAGGAAATATTACTTTACTGAGAGGATAGTGGATGCATGGAATAGCCTTCCAGCTGAAGTGGTAGAGGTTAACACAGTAAAGGAGTTTAAGCATGCGTGGGATAGGCATAAGGCTATCCTAACTATAAGATAAGGCCAGGGACTAATGAAAGTATTTAGAAAATTGGGCAGACTGGATGGGCCGAATGGTTCTTATCTGCCGTCATTCTATGTTTC